TCTTTTGAAGTAACGTCTGTCATGCTTTTAGAGATGGATCGCACAATTTTTTTTCCTGCTCCAATACTTCACTGTGGAACCGTTTCCACCGCTTGTAATTGGAAAGTATAATTTTATACTTATAATTAAAAGAAAAAAACTTATTTGCTGGAATTGAGATAATGTTATCCTTTTTCAAACTCCCCTCTAGACTGAGATCATTATGAGCTCTTTTTTTTTACCTTTTGCGAAGTGATGAGTATTTTTTTACAAACTTCCACCAGTCAATTTCTTTCCTGACATTTCGCTCTTTGCTCTTTGCATACCTTCATTGGTATGTGAAGTAGTGGTGGGTCTCTAGAACGCTAGATTATTTCCTTATATCCTTTGTTTTCGTTCGAAATTTCTTTTGCTTGAGTGTTTGTTCTATTAGGTATTTGATTCATTGTATATAAAATTGTTATATTGTGTTCTATGAACTCCTTCTGACACTGATTTTAAATTAATTCTGCAGAGAAGCGGATTTAGTTCCGTGCCCTTCCTTGCTCTTTTGTTATCGTACTCGTAACGAGACTATTTTTGGACATGTCATGAACAGAATCTTGAATCTAGTGACAACTGAAGAAACGAACCATACGCTTAATGCACCCTACGCTTGTGTTGCTGTTCTTGTTCGCTTGCTAAGACTTGCGAGTTTTGTTGGTTTTCCGATCTCTAATGTTGAAATCGCGCGCAGCGCCCTTTTGCCTTCAAGAATTCATTATCATCAAAGCTAATCGATGAAAAGGTTAAGAAAATGCTCTAGTTCTAAGATCTAACTTTCACATTGGTTATCCTCTCTGAGTTGATTCCGTTTAGGATGTTGTACATAAGTCAAGTATGGCGTCTGATCCCGAAAATTCTCGGAAACTCTAAATCAGAATAACATTGTGGTGTGGTTCACAAAAGTAGAACTTCCATGTCTAAGAAATCAATTACAAGCTTCTTAGGCATTTAGTTGCTCTAAATTAAAAGCAAACGGCGTAGTTGAAGTGATTTGCTATGAATAGGCGATTTTTTTCGAAGCATCTTGACCTATATCACGAATCGTACATGACCGGTGGTTTAGGAGGTAACTAAGAGCGTTCGTTACGAACTTTTCGGCGAAATTTGTTTCCTTGTATCATTTTGCACACCAACCCTAACGATTGTGGCAAGATGCTGAGCAGAGCTAAACTTTCATATAGGCTGTCATTTTTAGGTGGTCAAAAAAAAAAAACGGGGCAAAAATTCTAGACACTCAATAAGGTCACACCTCTAAGAACTTCTCGACAAACATCACTAGCCGATATGTTGCTACTCCGGACACGCGTGGTTGTGCTCAAGACTACCCTGCGTAATAACTTTGTTATGATATGGCTATGACTGATTCAAAGAAGCCATTGTGTCACTACGCGTCTACGCTTGAAACAAGCTTGATAGGGTGCAGTCACATTTGTCCATTAGTGGTTTGCGCCGACTTCTAAAACTCTATTTTTCCTTGTGATTTCTCGAGTAAAGCTTGAGGTCTCATCAGAATGCCTCGAGATTACCCTACCATCAAGGAATATGCGAAGGTCCAGAGTGAGCTTGGAAGTTGCCTTCCGGAATTTCGGCAGACTCTTAGTCGTGCGCTAACCTTCGGTGCTTCAGCTGGAGTACCGTTCGGTATGTACGTGGCTTACAAGTAAGTTCCTGTTAGCACTGATCGTATAAAATAGAAGCATCTTATGGAACTAACAACATTAAGAACTTCAGGCAGCATGGTCGAGACCTGCGAGCATTTGCTGGTAAGTCATTTGCTACTTGGATGGCAACAACATTAACGCTAGGAGCTATTGGAATCATGGCGGGAGCGTATAATTGTTTGCGAGTACAAATGTGAACTATTTTATTTCACAGTTGTTTTTAAAATCGTTGTTTCCGACTTGTAGGTAGTTTTGATTAGATATGTCAGTCTATTTGGGTGCATCACATGCAAATGAACTGTAATTTGCTTTCCTGACGAGTTGTTTTGTGAAAAGAAGGCGTGCTCAT